CTCTTTTATATTACCTTCCCTTTTCTTTAATCCATTAAGTCCACGGTGATATTTACATCCACTAAGTCCGAAATGCAATAAAGGAAAATAAGTGTCAACTTAACCCGAATAAATAAACCTTATTTTCTTCAAAGGAAATTACAAAGGAAGAGTCAAACTTATTTACAAGTTAGGGATTTCAAGTCAAACTAAGGATGTGCAACAAGAACTAGTCAAACTCAGAAGAGTGATAATGACTTAGAAAAACTCATAGTAAGCAATAATGACTTAAAATCCAAACTTGATAATGAGTGATAATGACACTTTCCTTGGCGATTTCCAAGGGTCCATTAATCCCTTAATAACAGTAAACACACTGATGATAAATTCTTCGGGGGAAATTACAAAGGAAGAGTCAAACTTATTTTCAAGCAATAAGGGATTTCAAGTCAAACTCAAGATGCGCAAAAAGGACTAGTCAAACTCCAAAGGGTAATAATGACTTAGATAAACCCATAGTGAGTAATAATGACTTGAAATCCAAACTTGATAATAAGTGATAATGATACTTTAAACAAAAATAAAAAATTATCAAACCATCAAATTCAATATTTTACAAAGAACAATTAAACTGTACATGTTCATAAAAGCATATTTAAATTATAAAATTCACCCAAATCCTAAAAAAAAATTAATAATAAAATAAAATCTAAAATTCACCAATCAGCACATTGGATATTTAGGAACAAAGCTCTCCAATGCTTGTAAATTAGGAACAAAGCTTAGGTCCCATCATGAGCGAAGTGGAAAGCTTATTGGTTTAAAAAAATGAAGAACAAACTGAAGGTGGAGCTAATTTTGGTGGTGGTGTTGTCGGTTATGGATTGGAAAGAGTCTAGCTGGTATACCATTGAAAGTCTTGAAAGTCTCCTTGGTGATCTGAATATGAACTTTGAAATCCCCAACTAGCAGTCTCCTTGGTGATCTGAATATGAACTTTGAAATCCCCAACTAGCAGTCTCCTTGGTGATCTGAATATGAACTTTGAAATCCCCAACTAGCAGTCTCCTTGGTGATCTGAATATGAACTTTGAAATCCCCAACTAGCAGTCTCCTTGGTGATCTGAATATGAACTTTGAAATCCCCAACTAGCTCTGTGAGATCAGGCTCCTCATGCAGAGCAAAAACCATTATCCCTTTCTTTGCTGCACCAAAACAAAATCTCCAAGCTGAGTAAATATGTATAGGTGAAACTGAACTTAATAGTCATAATTTGAAATAATAATTAAAGAAAAATATAATATACAGACAAACCAAAACTATATGTTTAACCAAACACAATATCTTAGCTCCAACTGAGATAGGGAAAGCAATGGCGGAATACAAAAAATAATCTCTCTTGGTTGCAATAAACACTATGAGAAGTGAAACTTTATGAAATAAAGCTTCAATGATTTACAAGAATTTCATTGAAAATGTACGAATGAAAACACAGTGAAAAAATGTTCACCGTTAACTGTTCTTAACATGACAATTTTGACTGATAAATCAACATACATATTAACCTCATAAAGCCCAACTGCCTATTCAAATGACTCAAAATAACAGCCTGTCTCATGGCTTCCAAGCTCCAATCCAATCCCCCATTGAAATAGTAACAATATGACTAAAGCTATGGGTGTTGGTAAGTTAACCATGAGTTCAGATTTAAAGTATTAATTACACTTTCTTTTTTCTTTTCTTTTTTTGTAATATAAATAGTTTAAAACTATTGATCTATCTAACAATAAACAAGAAACAACTACATATATATATATATATATATATGGCATTTAGCTTATTGGAGAAAAGTTGAACTTTATTGAAGTTATTCTACCAGATATCTTTGCATGATTTAGTATTTCAATCAGAAAATTATAGCCCATATGATTTTTCCACTATTGTCCATACTAGCTACAGGTTCCTCCCGACCAAAAGCCCCAATTGTTCAATAGCCTCACAACTAAGATCATATTTCGAATCAGATCTGTTGGTCCACAACAAAAATCAGATCTGTTGGTCCACAAAAAATCAGAGATGAGAGATCAGGGAGAGAGAGAGAGAGAGAGACGCTCACCTGTGTGTGAGTCGATCGGTGCAGAGATGCAAAACCAGAGAGTGAGTGTGAGAATGATGAGATGAGAGAGTGAGGGAGACAGATCAGATCAGATCAGAGATATATATATATATATATTTGATATATATATATATAAAACAAAAAAAAATCAACGATCGGGAGAGAGAGAGAGACAGAGATTGAGAGAGTTTACCTGTGAAGTAGATTGATCGGCTGTCCGATGATGATCGGAGCAATGAGATGAGAAAGAGAGTGATCGGTGCAGAAAGTTTCCATGTTGAATGATCGGCTGCCAGAAACGAAAGAGTGAGAAAGAGAGAAAGTGAAATGGTGAGTGAGTGATGGTGAGACTGAGAGAGAGCGAGAGAGAGAGAGAGAGAGTGAGGGAGCCGATTATAGATTAGGGTTTTTTTTTCTTTTGTTTTGTTTGTTATAGGTGAGTGAGATAGTGAGTGAGAGATGGACGGTTAGATTTGAAAGAGGGAAAAAAAAATGAATTTTTTTCTTTTTGATTTTTTTATGAAATTTTTTCTTTTTGAATTTTTTTTTCTAATTTTCATTACAAATGAATATTTAAATAATAAAAGGATTTTTTTTTTCGCAACAGAGGATGTCATTACTAAAAAAAATTATTTTTTATTAAAATAATTTTTTTATAGTTAATGAATTTTTATTTTTATTTTTATTTTTTCATTTAGTAAGGTTAAAAATTTATTTGTTTCATATTTATTTTAATGAATATAAAATTATTATTATTTTTTTATTTGGTAAAAGTAGGGATAATATTTTCCATTAAAATAAAGTTAATTTTTTGTGGCCAATGAGAGAAAGAGATATAGAGAGAGAGAGACAGGGAGACAGAGAGAGAAAGAGATAGAGAGAGAGACATAGAAAAATAGAGACAAACAAGATATGAGCGAGAGATAGACAATGAGAGAGAGAAATAGACCAAAAAGAGATGATCGAGAGAAAGACATAGAAAAAGAGAGACGGAGAGAGAAGAAAGATGAGCGAGAGAGACAGAGAGAGAAATAGAAAGAAGATAAATAAGCGAGAGAGAAGAGAGATAGAGAGATAAGAGAGAGAGAGAAGAGAGATGAGCGAGAGACAAAGAGAGAGAGAGAAAGAGAAAGAGACAGAGACAAAGACTGACAGATAGAGAAGAGTGATAAGTGAGAGAGAACAGAGAGGTAATATTTTGTGGTAGAGGAGAGGAAGCGGCAGTAGTGGTGAAGGTGGTGGATAAGAGACGATGGTGGTGGTGGTGATGGCGAAGGAGATTAGTGGTGAAGTTGTGGTAGTAGTAGAATAGATGGAGTGGCAGTGGTGAAAGAGAGGTAATGGTAGTAGTAGTAGTGGCAATAGTGGTAGTGGTGGTAGTGGAGTGGTGGCGATGTTAGTAATAATGGTAGTCGTAAAGGTGAAATGGCGACCGTGGTAGTAGTGGTGGTAGTGAAATGGCGTTTGTAGTAGTGGTGAAGGTGGTACAGGAGATGAGCGGTAAGAGAAAAAGACGAGTGAGAGACACACACAGAGAGAGAGAGAGAGAGATAAAAGAGATAGAGAGAAGAGAGCTGGACGAGAGACACAGAGAAAAGAGAGAGACAAACAGACAGAGAAGAGTGATGGGTGAGAGAGAGAAAGAGAAGAGTGACAGAGACACAGAGAGAAAGAGAGAGACGGACAGACAGAGAAGAGTGATAAGTGAGAGAAAGAGAGAGACAAAGAGAGATAGAAAAGAGAGACAGAGACACATAGAGAAAGGAAGAGACAGACAGACAGAGAAGAGTGATGAGTAAGAGAGGGAAAGAGACAGAGAGATAGGAAGATGAAAAAATGGGTGAAAAGAGAAATGTTCAAAAGAGTAAGGCGACGTCGTTTATAGTAGATCGATAAATCGAGAATGAGCTCGATAAATAGAGAAGATGGGAGTAAGAGAACGAGCAAGACGAACGTAATGAGGGAGAAATAGACAAATAGACAAGTAGACAGAGAGAGAGAGAAGAGTGATGAATGAGAGAGAGACAGAGAGAGAGAGATAGAAAAAGAGAGAGAAACAAGAGATGAGCGAGAGATAGAATGAAAAGAGATGAGCGAGAGAGAGACACAGAAAAAGAGAGAGACAGAGAGAGAAGAGAAATGAGCGAGAGAGATAGAGAGAGATAGAAAGATAAGAGAGAGAGAAAAGAAATGAGAGAGATAGAGAGAATAAAGATGAGCGAGATAGAGAGAAGAGAGATAGACGAGAGACACAGAGAGAAAATGAGAGAGAGAAACAGAGAGACAGAGAAAAAAGAGTGATGAGTGAAAAAGATAAAGATAAGAGATAGAGATAGAGACAGAGAGACAAGAAGA